AAAAAATTCCATCAGGTTGCTGACCCCAGAAACAGGGTCGCTACTGACCCCTAGTGTTCGGCAACCCAGGCTCAATTCGACTGATTTAAGGCAAAAAGCACGAGAAGCATCTTCATCCTTCAGCCCTGCAGCATCCTTCTGACATAGCAAGAGGTCCCTGCCTTGTGCTGAGGTTCTTTCTGCTCTATTTTATCAACAAAAATAGAAGTATCCATTTTTAAAGGAACAAGGAGAAAGGAAATATAAACTCCTAAGCATCCCAGCAAATTGTAGATTCACATTTCTACTACTTTCACATCTGTAATTAATTTTTCATTTGGAAGATTAAGAGGATATCAAGAACAGACTGACATTCATGGCTTCAAATGGTTATTTATAGACTCTTGATCAGTTATTAAGGAATTAATGACAGTGAACCACAATCCAAGCTGGTCTGCGAAACCTAGTGCAAGGAAAGGAGTTGCAATTGCCAGGTTGCTGCAGGACTTGGCAGTCCCAGGAAGAAGTGTGGAGTCTAGTGAGCCAGCTGCCCAGGTGATATAAAAGTTGCTTACAACAGAAAGCTGTAACTACAGAAGTGAAGAAGAATCCTACTGTTCTACTTACAATTTTGAGTCCAGGTTCAGGAGAAAGCCCAGTTTGTCATATTCTGGAAAAGAAAAGGACACAATATCATAAAAGCTGCAAGAGTCTCCTCTGCAAAAGGCAGCAAAACCAAACAGCAGTAAGTCCTTATAGCAGCTGTTAATACAGATTATTGTTACTCCAAGATATTCCTAAATTATCATTTCTCAATCCCCAGGAAATACCACAGCAAGAGAGCACATGGGTAACCATTAATTTAGAAACCACTAAAATTAAGCAAACTATCCAGAGCGATAAAAAGTATTACTGAAACCACTTATGCAGTGATAAACAAAGCCTTCCTGCTTGCTGTACAAATAATTTTGACACTAAACTGTATGAAAAACATTCCTCCTAAGTTCTGATGTGCAGAGTTTTGAAATTTTTCTTCATTCTTTGTCTATTCCAACCCAAAATGCTTCAAATTCAGGTGTTATTCAGTAAGAAACTGCGAAGTCAGTTTATGTCATGAACAGGGGATAGGTACAGAAACAAAACTATCATTCAGAACATCTATCTCATGTACAAAACAAGCTTTTTATTCAGCATCTCTGAATATATTGTGATCTTGTAAAACTGGATACAAAAAAAATCCTATTAGAATTCACATGAGATACACATGGAAAAGGTGCAGTGTTCTTGAGCTGGGTTAAGCTCAGGGGCCTCCTCACACTGAGGACCCCTGGGTCTCACAGCTATACAATAAAAAAAAAATACAAACAGAGAAGTAAAAGATAACCCAAACAGAGATTAAAAGAAACAACAACAAGAAAAAAAATTCTTATTAGCTTTTAGAAAGACCTCATTAGAAATATAAGATTACTTTTCTCACGAGACACCTGTAGAATTTCTGGTGCAGTAGTTCACCTCTGAAGATCACAAGCTTTTCATTCTCATTTACTGGCAGAACAGCCAAGCCTAAACATGTACTTCAGACACAATGACTGCACCAGATAGGTCAATGTAAACTGTGCCATTGGTTTCAATCCCATTAAGACTTAGTTCCTGAGCCAAGGGAAGTATTCTATTTGACATCACTTAGGTAACAGAAGCTGCAGAACACGTGCATGCTTGATACTGGCACATCCTGTCTGTTCCCTGCCAGCACTCGAGTGCCACCCACCATCCTCACTCCACCTGTGCATCTCTCCTCCACTCTCCACACACTGACAGCTCTGTTACCCTATGTGCTGCTTTCCTCATAATTTCTTCCCACAAGAAATTACGTCCTGTACAACCTCACCTCCACCGCCAGTAGGATTGTGCATAGGAAGGTATCCATTCCATAAGAAGAAATATGCCTTCAATTTTTATTAACCCTTCTGACTCCTAAAACAAACATCTGTACTAAGCAAACAGCCAGAAAGATTTTTTTTTTTTTTAATAACTCTTTTTTCAAAACCACCCATAGCCACTGACCCATTTGTCTTTAGTCTTATCTCATTCAAACCAACATTCCCTTCTTCCCAACAGGAAATACAAAAAGAGGAAATGCAATAAGAGATATATCACCTCATAAATACAACAGCATCCTGGACTTTATATTAAATCAGCACTTCATCAGCTTTGCAACTAAAGCACCAGAACACAGACATGAGCTAAACACTAAGGACAGACTTCCACTGCAATGTTTCACAAGATTTCTCATTTGTTTGTCACAACTGTTTCACCTTCCCCAGGCTTTAAGTTTTGAAGTTCACTGATTATTACTGACAGAGATACAAAGTAATTTCTTAAAACTACATGTCAACTACCTTGCAACAGGCATTTTCCAAAAAAAAAAACTATTAGAAAACAAAAAAACCTTTCTGGTTTCAAGCCAGAAGCAGGGTATGTTCTTGATTTTCAGTAGGGTGTAAGTACAGTTTCAGGCTGTAACATCAAACCAGAAGCATCCACGCCCCTTCCTCTTGTTGGTAGGTGAGATGTACAAGCTACTGCAGGCAGAGAAATGCTGCTCTCACCATGGACCATCTCACACTCATGGGCACTTTTGGAAGTCAGCATTACTATTAGCTTGGAAATGAATCTCTATCGCATGCTGCTCCCCCAGGAAAGACACTAGGACTCTCCAAAATTACAGATTCAAAGTTATCCTCCTTTTTAGCAAAAATTGCAGTCTGGCTACAGACTTACAGTGTCATTTAGCTGTATCATTGCAAATACAGGGGCCAAAAGTCAGCCCACATGCTGGCTGGAAGTGCCCTGGACTCACAAAAGACAGATAAAGTCCAAATATTGGAAGAAAGCCAAACACACAGAGGCTAGGAAAAGGCAATCCTTGTCTGGAGTTATGTATCTAAATTAAAACAAGATGAAACACAGATCCACTAAATCAAAGTACAACTGAATCTAAAACACAGTTTGGTCAGGGTATGATCATTCCAGGAGAGGAACTGAACTGATCACACAGCTCATAGCTCAAGAAAGGGGCAGTCCCATTCCTACATTTTTCTCCATTGAAAATAGAGGTGGCAATAGCCTGTCTTGGCACTCATGCCACCTCTCTGTGCCCTTACACATTGCTTCCTCCTCTCATAACCTTAGTTAAAAGCCCTGCTCACTGAGTTAACCACTTGATATACAGAAATATTTCTCCTTATTTTCATGTAGTGAGATAAAGAAGTGCTGGAATATTAGAGAAAATAGCATAAAACAGAGAGAACAAGATAAAAAGACTCTAGCTTCTCCACCAAAAATCAGCTTGAACCAGCTGGCCATGTTAAGTGTGGTTTGATGTTGGCCTCCACCAACATCATCATGATGATGCTCCCCCAGCACCCCAATCATTAGGGGGTCTCTGCACTGAAGGACAATGCAGAGCCATTCACAAGTACAGTCTGGAGAACTCCCTTCACATTTGAGCATGTTGGTAGTTCTGATTCAGCCCAGGCCATGTCTGACCCGCCAACTTCCAGACCACCTCTATGGCTCTGTGGCACAGGATCTGCTTTTAAAGCAAAAAATGCATAAAGGTAATAAAGAGCTTAGTTTGCATCCCCTGGAAGAACATCATGGCATAATCTGAACAAGACTTTAATATTTCAGCCCACAGAAGACTGAAAGGCCCATGAAAGATAAAAGTAACATTATTAGAAGAGCACAAGTCATTCTAAAGATCACAATAACCTATGCTAAGGACCTACAGATCTCAGCTGGCAATGTAGCACAGCAGTGCACAGAAGTGAATAAACATGGGAAATGAAGTTTCATCGTGCACCATAAGAACAAGAAGTCATCTTAGGTCAAAACCAAAATGCATTTCTACATTTCCAGGAAGATCAGAACTGAATAAGAATCTAAGAACTAACAACTATTTCATAATAAGGCATGTAATTGGGATTACATGAAAAGAAATAGAGCCAAGAATAGCAATTTCTATAAATTATGCAAATCCCATGCCAAATTCAATGTTGGCATTAGCATGGAAATTCCTCCAAAGAATCCAACAGAAATCCAGGTAGCAGGCTACACGTGAGAGATGCCTTGTATCATGTCTGAAAAACTCCATGCAGCCCACCCAGGAAGCCATAAAGCCCAGTGTACAGTATCTAGCAAGTATTCAAATTGCCTTTTGCATCTGCAGCCAATATTGCTATATAGAAGCAAAATGGGCAAAATTTTCCCCTTATGCTACTAATTTGAAATCAACAGTCCAGGAATTAACTTGCCATAGTGGTTTTATCCTTTCAAACTACCTGTAACCAATTTCACTGATACTAACCCTTGAGTGCTAACCCTTTTAGCAGCCAGCTACTTAGATGCACAGTACAAAGAACATTGCCTACAGAAACAGAAAATTAACCATTTTTTTTTAAAGACGGGCGATATGCAGTTCTAGCTCTATGTTTAACTGGTAATTGCAAGTACAGGAGGGAAGGCACAAGATTCAATTTCACTATTTTATTCAAAATGTTTGTGTTTGTCAAAGAAATCCATATAATTCTCAAGAGACAGAAGTCCTATCGAGGATGCTCAGACCACCCTGATATATTTCATCTTGTCCAGTGCAGTTTGGTCTCTGCAGAATTGAGGATCCAATTGAGCCAAGCCCTGGTCACTATTCACATGCAAGTTCTACATCTGCAGCAAAGGTCACAAGTAAGATAACTTATTCTGCAATAAAGAAGGCCAAACATATCACATTCACCTTGGACTAAGAAAACACATATGGACAGTTATAAAAGTTCAACAATGTAAATAGTTCTGCTAGAACTCAAGAGACAAGAAAGAATTAATGAAAAAAAGTCATGTTAAATGGATCAGCTGAAAAGGACAAAAGAAAGCTTTTATTCCAAAGTTAAAAAAATAGCAGTCAGGACTACTGAGCAATAATCAAAGTAATGGATAAACAAAGACTTAATGTTGCACCCTTTCCTTAGGATTTTCACCTTAACCTCTTCAGTGATGGAATTTACAGATGAAAACATTATCTTCTCTTTAAATAACCAGGGAATAAAAAAGACTGTGAAGGCAAGTTCAGGAGTGGTAAAGTTGAGGCCACCCAAGCTTCTCAGCACAGCCCTGCATGGACTGCATGCAGGTCTGCCTTTCAGTTTCCCCCTCACCCCCACTCACACTTTTGCATATGCGTTTACCAGCCTTTTTCTCCAGGTTGCCAAGTGACATCAAGGAAAACACCAAGAAAACTGGTAAGACAAAGCCCAGTCCCTGGTGCCTTTCCCTGCTCTGTAACAATCACAGAAGGAGCAGAAGTGACACCTGTAAAGCCAAGTGCTCAGCCCTTGCAGCCCAGTACCAGAAGCTTACATCACCAATCTACACCTACACATCCTAATAAAACTACAGCAACCTCCAATGGTAGAAAAGCAATAACTGACTGCTGTAAGCAGAATTTAGGAAAGACTCCAATAAGAAGATGAAAAATTTCCTCCTTTGATCTGCATGTGCCCCTTCACTTTTTTCAGGAAGTCATCTGTTTCAAGCCTTTGCTAAACAGTTGTTCCATTACTGCCATGAGTCCACTTGGCAAATGGAGTTAATGCTGCCCTACTGAGTCTCCCAGCATACTCTTTATTCTATACATTTTATCATATTTCCTAATAAAAGTCAAGAACAATATTAACAAAGCAGTAATCTATACTGGCTTTTAATGACTTACAAGATGTGCTGATTTGATGCAGAGATGTCACATGAGAGAGAAAAATTCCATTGAAATACTTTTAATTTGAATCATTCATTAAGCTACTTCTTGACATTTGCACCTCAAATCATTCACAGCTGTATTTTCAACTGGAGGAATAGAGCATTAATAAGAAGACAGATTATGATACTGAACATGCTGGCAAAGTCACATAAGGACTATGAAACTGCTCCATGACAGTTGCTGGCAAAGACTCAAGCAGCTCCCACAGTCTACACTCAGAAAAATAAAGAATGAAGTAGAACTTCATTAATCAAAAATGAAAAGGAAAAAGCATTTCTCCAGAAAAAAGCCACTTAAACCAGAAGAGAAAATACATGTGTTTTCCCTTTGTTTCTTTCCACATTACAGGAATGAAGAAATATACAGCATAGTAAGTTCATATATCCTTTCACATCATTATCACATAGTGCTGAGACAGAAATGCAATTTGGTTGAAAAACCCCAACACATTAGAACCACATCAGCTCCAAACATTAATTAAAGTTGCTTTCCTGAAACCAAAAACACCTAAAGTTAATTACAACTCACCTGAAAATCCAGGAAATATCAGAGTTTGCAACTGCAGACATTTGTATTATCAGAGTATCATTGAGAAATCAAATAAACAGCAAGGAAGCTTCTGCAAGTCAATGTTTCTGTCTTATGCTAGAAATCTATCACTACTCTACTCATTTGATACTTCATTCAGTTGCATTTCTATTCCTGGCCTCCATCCATATCACTCTCCATCCAAAACATAGTCACCAAATTCACTCTGGAGGACAGACACAGGGTTATTCTTATCTTTCAAAAAATGGTTATCTGAGCATCTCCAGCAGCTAAATGAAACAGAGCAAGTTTCCTTCATAGTTCTCACAGCTTTTCCCAAAATGGTTATGGGACTTTAACTTAAGGAATCACTAACAGCAAACTCCAAAATAAGCACAGATTTAAATTCTCAAATGATTACTCCGCTGTAAGTGTGAACTCAGCATTTGGAAGCATGATTTTGCATTTTGCATGTGGGCTTTTGCAAGCACATGAGCTGCAGCAGATAGCTACTGTAAACCAAAGTCTGGAAACCCAGAAGAGTTAATACATGCAAACAATTTGAGCAAGACCTAGATAACACTTGGTTTCTTGTAATGATGGAACTAGAACCTTTTAAGCCTGCAAATGAGAATATCTGCTATGAATCAGCGGTCAGTGCTGCAATCAAATGTGTCTAACAAGAGCATAAGCCTACAGTCCAAAAGCATTCAGTATTTTCAGCAAGCACAGTAGCATCTGGGAAACTTGCACATCCAGTGCACTCCTATCCAAGGCTTAGAGAAGAAAAATTTAGCTTGCTGTCAGACACAGGAGGTAGGAAAAAGTCTTGAACAAAAATAGCAGGGGTATAAATCTAACTTTCAAGGTCCAATGTTTGATTTGGTAGCAACAAAGTAAAACAAAGCAACTAGAGAGGAAAGACAAAACTAAAAGGAGCACTAGCTGCCTATGGCAAGTGAATGAAACCTAGGTCTCCTCAAACACCCTGCAACCTGATTGTTTCCCCAACTTCAGAGCATGACACCCCTTCTTTCTGAAATGCTTTCAGCTGAAACACTGGCCAAGACATAACATCAAACATTTATCTCAGCTGCTCAAGCTTTATCTTTTAAGGGAAGAGACAGCCATGAAGAGAATTACAAAAACATCTGGACTTGTGAAGGCTGGACCTCAGCATGAACCTCATGGTTCAGCCTCACTTAAAACACATTTGGCATGCCCTCTACCCAATAATCTCCTATGAAGCTCCATAGCTTTAAAGCACCATAGCCAGATGAGCTTCTGAACACTCAGTTCAGAAAGATTATCCAGAAAAACCTACACAATGTCATTAATCTGAGTTGAATAAGGACAGATTTCCAGCATTTCTGAAAACAGACTTGCATGTGGGACAAAGTTAAGGGGAAAGCCAAGATAAGGACAAACACTCAATTCAAGTATGATACAGAAGCTGCAACAAGACATTGCCCTTCACATGGCACTAAAAAGCACTTTTAAGCCATTTAGTATGCAAATATAAGTACCAATTTTAAGCACCATGAAATCTTAACAGGGAGACTATTATTCTCAGCTGGTTTTGACTAATAATGAGAAAGGTATATGTAATTTTCTGTTTCAAAGCATATAACTTGAGCTGAAACATCACCTACTGGGAATGGCTGGGCCTGGAGCTGCCATGGGTTCTGTGGGTTCTTTCTGGGCTCTGTCTTTTCCTGGGTCTGCAGCAAGGTGAGATGGGATGGACAGCGGAAGCACAATAGCCACAGTTTTTCTTTCTCTCCTTCCTGTTCAACAAGGAAAGCTATCCCTCAGTTGGACAGATATCACACATCTTGACATCTTATTACACATACCAGTTCAGAGCAAGGTGAAGTTTGCAGCACAGTAAGTGCAAAGTACTAAACACAAGAACAATAAATGTACAGCTTTCTTGGATATTTCTGAGCCTCCCTTCTCAAATATATGAGTTTTCTTTATGTTTCTTTAATGAAGTCAGTCTTGTTGCAGTGAAAGGGTTTACAAAAGATCAAGTCTTACTGTCTCAATTCCTAACCAATCCAAGCTTGAGTTGTAAAATGCAAGCAGAATAAAGACCAATTCTTTTAAAACAGACCAAGGCAGTCCAATGGCTCACATGAGCCTGTCTCCCACCCTCCATATTAACAGAACTCCAAAAGACACAGAGCAGTTGAACTGGTTTTCATCACTAAGTTTACTCTCCTATTGGTGGAAACATTTATGGTTAACTCCATAGACACAAAAGCTGTGGTTAAAATTCAAGCAAAGGTATCTCAAACCTATGTAACTTCCTCCCTACTTCTGCAGACTGAAGAGACAACCACCCAATACAGGAGACAGACAACAACACACTTCAGTTATGACACATTAATTAGTAAGAGAGAATTAATAGAGGGTTTCTTCCCCCCATACACACAAACACATATCCATTTGGCACACTAGAGATACTCTCACATCAGATCATGCACTAAGAATAGATCTGTTTCCAGATATAAGTTTTAGAAGAGATACAGGGAGAGTATAAAATTTTTGAAGTGTTTTAAACAAAGTTACTACCACTAGTTCAGGGGTTAGTAAATCAGATGTGTGTTCAAGTGTCGATGTTAGTGTCAGGCAGCAGGCTCTCTTTCAAAGTGTGCAGGCAGAAGACAGGTGCTATGTTGGAAGGCAGCATGTTCCCCCTATAAACCTAAGAGGAAAGGCTGGCAAGCATGATAAAACAAACAAAAAAAAAAATCCAAGCAAAGGTTTTGCGTTTTGTGGAAAACAATAAATACCCCTATCTTTAGGTGTTAAGGTGTTTAAAGATATAAGAGCAATTCTTAACTTCCCCTCGCACTTCATATATCATTATATACATATTGTAAACTGAATTTCGTTAAGTATCATGCTTACTATGGTTTGCCTTGGCTGTAGCTTGCACATTACACACAGCCAAATGGAGAGTTACTGATCCTGTGAAGTGCCCCCAGCACAAAAGAATTTTTTGATTTCTGGTCCAAATTAATTGTATGTCATGCTTAGGTTCCAAACACAATGAGATTGGGAAGGATTTGCCTTGGGTTCAATCTCCACCCAAAAAAAAAAGTTTCCAACCCTATTGGTTTATTGGTTTTAGGACACTTTCATTAGGACACTTTCATCTTCTCTTTCCTGGAAGCATTCCTAATGTCTTTCCTCAAATAACTCAACTGTTTGTTTAGCTGGGAAACTATCCTAGTAGCATGAAATAGTTTTTCTTCAGCTGGTAGGTGACATCATCTTAGTGCCTTTCACATGAGAAAAGGAGGACAAACTGCATCATCAACATGTGTCCATGTTGTTTCCTCGCTGGGTAAGGGAAGAGTCCCGAAGGTTAATCCTTGTGTTGTACTAAGGCTCTTAAAACTCCCTTTGTACTTGGGAAAGGAGCTATTTACCCTTTGGCTAGATGGCTGATTCCCACAGAAGTCTGACTCAGTGCCTCCCAACATGGCTACCATGTCCAATTAAGTAGAAGCCTTGTCATGAGGTGGGAGATAGAGAAGAAGGCAATGTTGTACCTGAGCCTATTGTATGTCCAACGGAGTCAAAGGAAAGAACCACTGAATCTGTAACACAAGAGTACAAGTTCATTTTCCCCTTTCTTTCAGCAGCATTTCTTGCTGTAACATTCTTTGTTATTTTGCTTAAGCAATTCCTTGTGCTCCCTTCTGCCAGGAAGCAAAACAGCTTCTTCACCAACCAGATAAAACAACAGGCACCTACCAGAGGTAGAACAATGGAGTATGCAATAAATCACAGTGCTGTTAACCAATGAAGTAGCCACAAGTCATTGAAAAGAATTTCATTTTATGTCTAATAAGTTTGGTCAACTGAATTATAACATGCTTTGCTGGCCTAAAGAGTTTTTTTCTTATCAGATATATTCCTAATATTTTATCCCCACTTAGGAGATTCACCTGTTACAATCAGTTCTTCCCTGAAACAGTTTGTTAAGCCAAGCACTTTGTGTTCCTTGTACTCCATGCTCACCATGTTTCCCACATCTTTACTCACAGTAGTGGCTTCCAACTCAGTGCATTTCAATTCATCAATATCTTTTCACCTTTGCACTATATGCAGCACATGTGCCAAGCATCAAGAAAATATAACCTCTCTATTTGAAACCCTTTTATTTTTCTTTCTGGGAATCACAACAATTATTTTATCCATGACTGAAGGGGCAACTCTTGCTCACTAGTTAGTACCTAACACTTTTAGTCACTGTTTAATATGATGGGGCACCCTTTGCCTTAAATGTGGTTTAAAGGCCCTAGTTTTTATATATGCAACTTGACATTTGGCCACATAGAAACCTTTAGTGCCTGCTTGCACTCAGCTCACCACATGATCCAGACCCTTTATTAGTCATACACTTTCCTCATATAGGACTCTTCCAGCCTAGAATCTATTTGAAAAATTATTAGTAATAATTTGATATTCTGTTCCAAGTAGAGTTGCATTATGGGATCATGCTCAATAATGGAACTTTCTCCCAGCTTTATGCTTATTTGAGACAAACCAAGACTTATTTTGGTAGTAAGCCTCCTGGTTTGCCATCTATTTTCATGGAAGTCATAACTGAAGGAGAAAGACTACCAAATTCTATTCCCCTACCAGTGGAGCAAAATTGGGCTCAGGACTTAGAGATAAATTGCCAATGGGCAAAATGCAAAAAAGAACAAACCACCACAATAGGATTAATAATTTTATGGCCTGAGAAGCTTTAAATCGACACAGCAATAGCTGAACTGCCTTTCATCTTCATGTAAATAAATCCTTTGACATTTCTCTTTGTCACTCAGGTTTCAGATGTGATCAACTCATCACACATCCTTTGCAGCACCACAGAGGCTGCCAAGGTGCAATGGCTCAGTGCGAGGCAAAAAGCTCAAGCAGGAGAAGACTTAGCCTGCTGAAAAGAGTTTAACCTCCTGCTGCATCACTTGAAATTTAGGCAGGCTACAATCACAGGCAGTTACCATGTTAGAGCTGAAAATATCTTGACACTAGGACTGAGCCCTTGTCTTCTCTATATTTTACATTATTCTGATGCTTATTTTCCAACTCTTAAAAATGCAATAAGAAACTGTTAATTTTCAAAATAAACACCATTGTTTTAATAAAGGACTGTTAATTTGACTGGCTTTAAAAGAATTTAGAAAAAGAAGGTCTGTGCTGTCTTGGATCCAGCACTATGGTAGTAACATTTAAAAAAATCAAAAAGAAGACATAACTAGTTTCAAAACTTACTCCAACAAAAATAAAAATCCATCTGGACTTAACAACTGTATTTCCTCTTTTGGGAATAAAATTCAGACATCATTATATTATTCTAAATAGCAAGGAGTTTAATTCATTTTAACTGCATTAACTTCGTTTGCCATCAATTTTAAAGTATCTCTGTGGGGTCCTACTTTTAAAAAACTGTTGATATTTTTATCAACATAATGTACTGCTTTGTAGTTAATGTCAAATTTAAAAGCTGTTAATTTTTCTGAAATATATTTTGCATTCAAACACTGCACATGAAATATTAGGACTTATCTAAGAATGGCTGAAAAGCACTGCAAGTACCAAATTAACATTATCGCAACCCACAAAAAGAGTTTAATGTTTCATTCCCTTAACTGAGAACATTATCTTCCTCATATAAAAAAAAGCAATTTACAAGTAGATTAAGAGCTCCCTTTTCCAAACCAGTCCTTCATGCTACTATTAGTTTCAACTAATCAAATTGACTGTGAATAACCTGTATAATAGTCAACTCTTCCTCAACCTCCAGAAGTAATATCATAAACATGGGTCTTTATTAAAATACTGTGTTTATTTCTGATATTAGCTCTCCAAAAGTGAAAAAACTTCAAACCTGAAGAAAGCTGAGATGTCACCTTTCTTCTACCCCAAAAGCTACTCACATCCAAATTCAGAGCTACAGATTATTTCTGTCAGAAGTTGGAGATAAACATTTCTTTGAAGCAAGCCAGATTTACTTGCAAATACACTGAGTTCTGCTTCCACAAACATATGGAGAAAAGTTTCTTTGCTTCTATTTTCAAATCTCTTTCAGTCATCGCTCAGTTCAAAATCCTCCTGGCTTTCTAGGGGATCTTTTTTGCTGAGACAAAGTGGCAGCTCTGTCTGCACCCAGTGCTTTTCCCCAAGTCCCAGAATGTGCTCTACCTTTCAAAGGCAATCTTCAAAGGCTTAATCTTTCAAAACTCATTAAGACACAATGTAAAACATACCCACTTACATGCACCCTTGCTTAGGTGTCAGGAACTGTTTGTGCCTGAAGGAGCAGTCCCCAACTTTTAAGATACCTACTTCCATAAAGAAGCTTAGATTTTTTTTCTCCTGCTTTAACTGAAGGGCAGTCTTTATGCCTAAATCATGAAATCTGACACACAGTAACTTGCCAATATGTACAGCGCACGCCACAGTGCCAGTCTTTTACATCTGTTTTTATGTTAACTACAATCTTTTTTTTCAGTGGCTCTAGCAGCTTAAAAAAGAAAAGGGAAAAAAAAACCAAAACAACAAGATATAGCAAAATCCAAATGTAATTCTGGATCTTATCCAACCCATCAGAAGAAGCAAAGACAGCACAAGCACTCACTCTATTTAGAAGGCATTCAGTGCCAGGAATAATGATGGCTGAGACCTCACCAGCCAGATTGCAAAGTTGCTTTGGGTCACTTTTTGTCAACTTTGGGTTCAAGTTGCACTGGCACCTATGCTCTGGGTCACTTTCCCCTCACTCCCACCATCCAGTTAGAGCATCACAAATTGGACCAAATATACAAATCTGCTTCCTCATCCCCCACAAAACAGTCCTGTGCAGGGCTACCTGAATGCACTCCATCACAGCCCCTTTGGAGTGTGAGGAGTATTGTATGAAACCCTGTTCCACTGCTGTGAAACCAATACAAGGATCCCATTACATTCAGAAAAAAGGAGCTCGAAGATAGACTCTGCAAAGACCCTCAATGCTGCTCTGGGAACAAATTTAAACTCATTCCCAACAATGCTCCATACAGGACCCAGAGCTAAATGTAGCTTCAAAGGAACATAACTGGATTTGCACAGATCTGTTTTGTAGTAAAAGCAAAAACAAAACCAAAAAAAAAACAAACCCCCAAAAACTCACCTGCAAGCAAATCTGTGATGACTACATTTATTGCAGCACTTACACCACACTCCAGCTAAGACATCCAGGTGTGTGGACTGATTGTATTTCAAGGCAAGGGATGCACTTCAAGCATTGCTAGCCCCTTACGTTTCTCAGGGCCTGGGTAACTGCGCACCACACTCCCCTGTCTCCAAGATGGGTAAATTAAATCATCCTTCTTGCTGCATATATTGTGCACCTTAGCTCGGGGCATTTCTGGACAGCAGATTAGTATTCATCTGCTACTTGTAACACACTGCTGTATCTTTTCCAGTACTCTAGTTTCTGAACAGAAAAATAAATGAAGACTTGGGTCTTCACAAATGAGTGATGATCCTCACCAACAAACTGTAGAATTGTAAGAGACAAACAAAGCCATGCTGAAAAACATCTGAAGTTTCACACTCCCTGCACATCAATAGATAAATGCTTAATGTGGGTAGTGCACTGAAGAGATGTATGGAAACAGCTTTTAAAAGCCCAATAGTGTAAAGTTCTTAAAATCATGTAGGAGCAAATACATGGATTCATTTCCAATACAAATACTATCCTTACTTTGATTTCATTATTGAAGAAAATGCAATATGTGAACCAAAAAACAAGCAGTGGCAATACATAATGAGAACTGCAAATATAATCCACATTCAAACAAGAACTGCATATAAACTGTATGTTTACCTAAGTGCTGTTTCAAAATTCCAGTTAAGATTTTTATAGTAAGTCCCTCTACTAACTTTTTATTGCTTTTTTACAGATTCTCCCTGCAAGGATTTGCAGATATTTGCCTCAACCTATTGGAAACCAAAGAAGCTGAACCAATAACTTATCTATTTTTTGGGAGAGGATTGTTTAAGTTTTAAAAAGAAATAAATAAATAAAGGCAAGCAAAACCAGACTTCAGCAATAAAGTAACTTCCCCAAGAAAAACAACATGATTGCGTGCTGCTTTGGAAGTGGTCCTGAGAAACCACAAACTGTCAGTCCCACTGGAGTTATAAGAGTTTAATAATAAAGGCCTAATACAGCCTCAATACCACATACCATTACAGCAACACACTCTACAGGCCGAGCCAAACAGGGAATACAAGAACCCATCTAAACTTAAGGCTGTGATTTGGCACATTCTTATTCAGATGCTCAAGCTCTGAGGTCTGTATTGCTTTCTTATATGCATAATCAATGTCTTTCATTCCATACACCCCTGTTCTCCAGATACTCTGATGGATTCCTACAGAACTACAACCTGTATTTAATAACATCTAATGTAATTTATACCTCCAGAGTTTGATCAGAGACTAGGTATCCTGCAGAGCTCCATCAGCTGGCCTGAGGATGGCAACTGCAGTAATATTACCCAACAAAATTTTTATTCAGAGTCAGAATGAAAACAAAAAAATT